AACAGTTATTGCATGAGTTGTGCATTAATTTTATTGTATTACCAATGATTAGGCGAATTGTTAACATACCGGTAATGATATGTTTTAAATGATAGGATTTGTTGTAACTGTATTTTGAAGGGTTAGTATAAGTAGTTAATCGCAAGACATTGTCTTAAGTAATAACTTACACGAGCTCTTAACAAATGCGGGTAAAGATAACAGAATTTCAATTTCACTGATTATACAGTAGTCGTATGTTTCATACATTTAATGAATAATTTAAACATTTTTGGCACAAATTCTCTATTCATTTTGGCGCACATATGACTCCTCTGTTTGAAAATGATTTGAATTAGAAATTGAAATGAATATAAGAGACAAAGTTTGACACGAAATGCATTGAATAATCCTCAGGAAGGAAAGCGTGTGAGAAGACATCGTTTATATTCCTGCGTAAAGAACTTCCCGTCCGTTTGGCGAATATTATGCAAGAATTGCATTTACTTCCGGAAAATCTGTTGCGAATGCCGAGCGTTGAGTTAGTCCAGAGTTTTGTTATCCGAAGACATCACTGAATGAGCCAAAGATGTCGAGCGAAGACCAGTTCAAAGCAGCCGTTAATGTCATCAAAAGACTTCCCAAAAATGGTTTGTTTTCATTATCTATTCTTCCGATTGTTTTCCAATTGATCCACAAATTGGACCACAAATTGATCCATTAGTTAATGGTTTAGATATTAAATTTAATTATCGTTTTTTCATTCAATTTTAAGCAAATATAATTCACTTTATTTTTCCTTATATTTGGTGTCAATTTATTTTTGATTACATTTTAATTATTTTAAAAAATTAATTATCGATTTGTTGCCAAATTTTAACCACAATTTTATGCAAATTTTTTTTTTACTGTTTTAATGCATAATTCAGTACAAGTCTTGTCTCAGATATGATTTCTTAATATTTCTGACTATATTTTGAATATTTTAAATAATAATTTTTAATTGTATCTAATATTAGACTTAATTTATAATAAAATAAATGTTTATTTCCTTTTAATTAAAACTTGAAATCAAACGCATTATTAGGTTATAAATGAAAGTATATTTACTTTTCTATACAATCTTATAATAGATTCCCGTTTTTATAGCTTAAAAGCAAATAATAATAATTGACACGAATTTCATTGATTTTGTGCTTATTTTTTGACACAAATATATTTCGATATTTTGTTTAAGAAAATGTTTATTTCCTAACAATTATAAGAAATGAATGAAAGAATTGAAACTAATTTCAGGTCCTTTTCAACCATCGGATGACTTGAAGCTCAGGTTTTACGCCCTCTTTAAACAGGCGACGGAAGGGCCGAACCAAACGAAAAAACCCCCCTTTTATGACATTGTGAACAGATATAAATGGGACGCTTGGAAGCGGTTGGGAGAGATGGACACACAGACTGCTATGGACTCATACATCGATGAACTCAAAAAAGTCTGATCTCATTATCACATTCACTGACATTTCGCTAATCAATTAATTGCAATCAACGCATAGGTCATCGAAACCATGTCTTTCAATGAATCGGTTTCCGAGTTTTACGAAGTGTTGGGTCCGTTCCACGAGTTTCTGCCACAAGAGGCCAACGGATCCGATGATAATTCCAATGGTTTACATAATGATGACAATGAAGACAATGAACTGAATGTTAAGAATAATATTGAACAGCAAAAGAGTGAGTTTTGCATTTGTTAGGCAAAAACAAACACTTGATCTTATTTTGTCTGTTATTTGTTTGCAATGCAGTGAAAGTCGGAAAGAAAATTCCCAAAAACCCGTATAAAGGTTTGCTTTAAATGTTTTTAATTGTTGTCAAATTCACATAATATAAGTTATGATTACTAATGCCATAAGTTTTATATCTGCAACTCACTATTTTTTCTTGATTTAAAATTATTTTTATTTTATTAAACATACAAAACTTGTCATTGTTTGCCAACTATTCAAATGCTTAAAAATTGAGTGCAATTCAACTACAAAACCACATTCATAGTGTTGTTTTTCCTCTTAAAGCAAACGCAACATTCATATGAAAAATAATAATTTACTTAATGACAGATATGTCTCAAACAAATGGAGACGATTTGGGAATTGATAGCGAAGGCGAAGAATTCTCCGATACCTATGACCACATCGGAGAGGTCTGTCTTTCATTGACATTTGCAGTGAATTAATTGATTTTTAAAACATAAAGAATGGAGAGATTCCTGTGGTTGAGAGGAATGGAAGTGATTTCTCGATTAAGGACATGGTGTCAGTGCGCGGCGGCAATGATAGCAGTAATCCAAGCGCTCACATCTCGCCATCCAATTCAACAAATAACAGAAACGTCTCATCCATGCGAAGCAATAACGGCAGGGGTAGGGCTAACACATGAGCACTCATTCTCTACAATCATTGTGTTGTCTTAGAATTAGGTGTTCCGTCGGCACAGGATTTGCGGCCACACAACTCGAGAGGTGACGGCGGGTCCGGAGGTCACGGCTCTAATCCACACGACTATTCCATTGGTATTAACGAACAGTTGGCTTTAGCTGTCATTAGACTTCAGCAGAGTATGGATCAAGTGGTGAATCGACTCGACGCTCTCGAATCGATGTTGAGTCGGGAAACTCGGGTATTATATGTGAATTACATTTTATTGTTTAATTATTAACTGAAATGTTATTCAATGAATTGAAGACTAAACCGAGTCCTAAACGTCAAAAGTCAAGCATTTGGCCGTTTGAAGAGCTAAGACCTCAAACAGCACTCGTACTAATAGTTTGGCCATTTGTGGTCCAATTGATCGTTCAATACATTCAACACAAAAGGCGTAATAAATAAGTGATTTTAATTTTTTATTATATAAACAGATCTTTTATTTTTAATTATACATATTAAACAATAATAATACATATTATACTTATATCAATGATTACAACTTTTCTACATTTCATCCATTTATTGCCTTTTTATTTTGTTTTTTAAGTTTATTTTGTTGTTTAAACGTATGATATATTTTACGGCAATTAATTTATTTGTATTGCAATGAATTGGAGGGGAGGGGAAGAGTCAATAAAATTAGTTTTCTGTTCAATTTATAAATTATAATAAAGTACTAAATGTTTATTTAAAAAGGTTTTAATAATTTATTGAAAAATGTAGAAAAAAGTGCTTAAAATATATGTTTCATAAAATGGGCCCTAATTTAGAGCTAAAGCTTTATTTAACAATTTAGTACTTGTATTGCAAATGCCTTCTAATGAAAGACATTTAAATGCTTCACTCATTTGTCGGACAATTCAATTCGGAGTTAATTTACGTACAGAAAGCAAAGGCACCGAACCGTTCAGTGCTATTGACTAATGGGTATTGACTATAAATAAATAGATTTATGTAAACCTGGGATTCGATGTTTTGCTATAATGTCTCAGACCTATGGGTTGTTGGGATAAAGTCATGTTCGAGCCTTCCGATTGGATTATATGATGAGTAGCGCCAGAACTCCAGTCGTGAGTTCCGAGGGCTGAGCGATAGTGTTTGCTCGACGTCTTGTTAAACACGGGCAACAATTCGTTGGCTTCGTTTGAAAGTACTTTCAAATATATGATGGCATCCGTTCCGTAGCCCTCCAGAGATGTGATGACAAGATCTCCCTGAAGATAACGCGCGTACAGACGAGACAGCGGCAGACCGTAGCCATAGCCGGCTAATGGCGCCGAATTGATGCCAGAGACCGATGGCTGCGGAGCAGTTGAATACATGTAGTGAAACAACAGATGACTCACTGAACGTGGTATTCCTCCGCCTCTATCTTGGATCTATTGGGCCAACAATTGCTTTGAGACAATCATTTCTTATAATTAATCATTTACTTTTAGTGTGAGATCTTCTCTCGCCATAACTAGAGTGACAGCAATTGGGGGTAATTTATCATCATTTCCATGATGTTCAACGACTGCACGCATTGAGTTTTTAAACAATTCAAATAACATGTGATAGAGATCTGCAATAAATGTCATGACTTGAGACTAATTAAACATTAAATAATTAATATAATGGACATTACGTGAGGGAACGTAAACGAGAGATATGGGCGCAGAAGTGGTATCAACTAAATTGATGCAAAATTTGATCAATAAGTGAATCAATAAGGAATTTAAAAAATAATTATACTGACTGTTCAGTTCATCGATGGTTAGGTCCGGAGAATTCATATAGTATTGATCGCAAAGGAATTTGGCGTTTTCGTAGGCGTCCAGTATTACAGACTTTACATTACACTAATTGTGTAAATAAATATTTTTAGACAATATTTTAGTGAAATGACAGATAAATGGAGTCATACATTGGGGTCAATGCAACCGATATGTCTGGGGTTATTGAGGGCCACATCGGCAGGTGAGCCAAAGAGGGCCGCGTGTTGGTTGATAAGCATACGGATCGATATGCGCGACATATAGAACCGGTTGAGGAAGTATTGGATTGAATGTTCCGTTTGCTGATCCAATTGATGAGTTTCCTTCAGTTCCATCACTCCCTGAGCCATAGTCTGAACGACATTCGAGTGTCGATTCCTGATCTTAATCAGCGTTTCGCAGAAGTTTTCGTGGGTTTGCTTAAGACTAGCGTCTGATTTCTCGAAGTGTAAGATCTCATTGAAACTCATTTTATACCAACTCTGGACTAACTCAACGCTCGGCATTCGCAACAGATTTTCCGGAAGTAAATGCAATTCTTGCATAATATTCGCCAAACGGACGGGAAGTTCTTTACGCAGGAATATAAACGATGTCTTCTCACATGCTTTCCTTCCTGAGGATTATTCAATGCATTTCGTGTCAAACATTGTCTCTTATATTCATTTCAATTTCTAATTCAAATCATTTTCAAACAGAGGAGTCATATGTGCGCCAAAATGTATAAAGAATTTGTGCCAAAAATGTTTAAATTATTCATTAAATGTATGAAAACATACGACTACTGTATAATCAGTAAAATTGAAATTCTGTTATCTTTACCCGCATTTGTTAAGAGCTCGTGTAAGTTATTACTTAAGACAATGTCTTGCGATTAACTACTTAGACTAACCCTTCAAAATACAGTTACAACAAATCCTATCATTTAAAACATATCATTACCGGTATGTTAACAATTCGCCTAATCATTGGTAATACAATAAAATTAATGCACAACTCATGCAATAACTGTTTATAAATGAAACAATTCTACGAATTTGTAATAATTGTTTTTTAAATATGAGATTATAAAAAACATTTAAAATGTTTCTTTTAATGAAATCGTAAGACTAATAGATGTTTTAGCAATGAATTTAATAGTCAAATGATAAGTAGGTTTGTGTTACTAACATAAGAAGCAAAACCTTCTCAACTGCATGACTGCAAACATACTTTGGACTCTATTTTGGTACGAATTATGCAATATTTTTGGCCGTATTATCACAACCCATACGTTATGTTCACAACCCATACATTCAAATATGCGATAAAATATGTTATTTATAAATAAAATAAAATTCAATATTACAAAGAATCAAAACAAAAATTACATGACAACTAATCATAATAATTATTAAATACATAGAAATAAATGGTTAAATATAATATAATTTTACACACAATCGTACACAGAATTTATGTAAAATTATAATAATATCTAACATAAAATACAATGGTTTACAATTTAATTGTGTATCAAATTAAATATCCATTAATTATATTTAATGTAATTATCATTACATTTGTGGTCCAATGTCTGTGTATTGTATACAAAGGATAAACTTGTCCTCAATTGAACTCAAATGCAAAAATCCATATCTAATATTAAATATTGTATAACTAAATAAACTTAACAACAAAATAGATCTAAAATATAAAAACCCCATAAAATTTCCCGATTTGTAAATTTAAGAAATATAACGTAATATTAATATCATATTATGCTTTGCTATACAAGGAAAATGTTGTAATTATTAATTAAGAATAATAGTAAATAATAATGATGTGTTCAGTAATGATATTCTATAAAAGACATATAAATCAATGTAATTCTCGATCTCATCCGACATTCAATGTAAATGTATTGCAAAATTTAAGCATTAATTCAATTTTCAAATTAAGTAATAATTAATAAAATTGCGTCAAATTTTGATTATAACTATCTGTCTATCAATCAATGAGTCGATTGAAATAATTTATTAAAATTAAACCAACAATTGATGTCATATAATGTTAGACAATAAACGCTAAATTTAAACATATTTCAGACATTTTAATCAATTATGAGATTAAAAAATGAATTAAATATGAATTAAACAAAAAGCATATAAAACACAAATTGTGTTTCGGATCTAATTATTAGCAACACTTGTTTTCAATGTAATTGTTTCACAAAAAGCTAAACAATTGCCATGAATTGAGTCCACAATTGGATCCAATTCTTCAGTGAATTGTTTGCAAAAAAAAGTAAAAAACAGATAAGAATTAAATGAAAAACAAATTGCAATCCGTTTTGATTGATAACAACTAAATATAGCGTTAAATAAAACCAATAATAAAAACAACTCATGAATGAAAACGATATGAAAAATGACAGAAAACGCAAATTTGAACGAAAATAATAGCCGTTAAAAAAGTGGTCAATAAATACCGAAATCGAGAAATTGTTTGATAGAAAGCGGCGATGGATTGAAACGTGAATACAAATCAATGTATTTATTCAGATCTCTGAACAAAACTGTTGTGAATCTCATCTTTCGTTGTTTTGGTTGTTTTGGTCTTCAATTTACAAACAATTTGTGTTTCAATTAAATTGTATTTTTGACTCGCGTTTAAAGTCCACTATAAATGATATGTAAGAAAATATGTGATCAATAATTAGTTTATGAGTTATTCACAAGAATTTATTGATCAATAAATAATACTTACGGAAAGGTATCGACAAAATAGTGTGCAAATCAGAGACTAATATTTAATTAACAATTAATTAACAAATAAATAACAAATCAAATCAATTGATGAAAATATTGTCCACAATTAAGGGATGAGACAGACATTGAATAGTAGTTAAAAATCATGTGATTTGTCGTAATTATGAAAATCATAAATGAATTAAAAGCACAACAAAAATAGTATTGAAATGAATGGCAAAACAAAACTGAACACTAAATTCACTGCAAATTCATTTCAATTGCAAATTCAATTCAAAGCCAAGAATTGATGACGAGTTTTGAGTCCCTAAACATTGGTTACGCCTCTACTGTACGACACGTGAAGGTGTGTCCACTCAGACCAACACATCATTGGCTCAACACTTCAAACACAACTCAATACCCGCTATAATAAGCACTCAATCTGTTTACTAGATTTACAATCAACTCTCGTTATGTCAAACACTGTCTCGCAATTGAATTACTTTCTATTTGATTAAATTCAGGCATAAATACAGTTTAGTGTTCATTGAATTCATGTGTTGAACATATCTATACAAAATGCTAAATTATATCCAGTATTCATAATCATTTGGACTGCAAAACGAGATTGTAGTGAAACTAAATACAGCACAACTCCACTATATTATACATCAATAAATTAATTCAAGTTAGAGTGAAATACGAAGAATATTGAGTCAATCATATATTGCTATCAAATTATGGTCGGACTAATTGTTGTGTAATTAGGACACAAATGAGCTTTCAATCCTATATTAATCTCATATACAATTACTAGAGTCTCGATTTTTCGGGAATAAAAACATATGAATTCGGGAGTATACATCGCCAAAATCGGGAAAATTCGGGAATTACGTTTTTATTAAATTTTTACATAATAATTATGTATTTAAGTAATTTTTAAAAGGTTTATATGCACTAACGAAGCAAAATAATGACATGTATTGAGGCAAAAGTAAGGAATTTAATAGAAAATCCATATTTTTAAAAGATTCTTTCTTAAAAAAGTAAATTTTCGGACCATTTTTAATAAAATAGAGGCTTTTCGGGAGTTTTCCTAACAAAATACAAGTGCCAAAATCGGGAAAAATCGGGAAAATCGGGAATTCCCGAAAAATAGAGACTTTAACAATTACTGAGTCATTGAATTGATTTAATGTCCTAACAGTACAGTTACAAGAATTGGAGTTACAGTTATACATGCAATACATAGACATAACAAGTAATGCATAATTAGTGGACAATTTAACAAGAATTAGCTCTTAATATGAATGATTGGTATAATTGAATTCATATCACACACTGACTGGTG